TGTTACAGCGGTTTCAGGCTTCTCATTTAACTCTTGGCAAAGCAAGAAAGCAAATAAGGATATTTACAGAAATGTTGACATATTCCTTTTGAAAATCTCATCACTCATACGCCCCACTGTTATAATCCATTTTATATGTTCTGCAGTGCTACTATCTCCCTTTTTTTTGTTTTGTCCTGTGAAAACTCATTTTTCATCCTCTGTTTGTTTTCTTCATTTTTCCTAAAGTTCCCACTTCACTTTTCCTTTTTGTTCAGCTTCAGTTCATTAAACATTCTTGGCGCTGCAGGAACGTACTTTTCCATTACTGCGCCATTAATCATTTCAGTCGTTCCTTCTCCCCAGCTTATGCGGACACCCCCGTCCCTCCACTCCCAATTCAATTAGTCTTGTTTGACAGTTGTTATCTTGGAAAATGGCAGTAACGGCAAGTGCCACACATACAGAAAAGTACATGAAAGGAAGAGGAAAATTGAATGACTACCATCTGAACGCACATGCTAAATTACAGTAACCTATGACCCGTCACAGGATGGGCTTGAGTCAGTGAAAGCTTCGGGCCCTTGTAAAAACAGGACAGAGCGGATGAGGGAGCAGCTCAGCGGTTGGTCATATTTTGCAAGCCGCTGGATTCACTGCTGTAGTGGACACCAAGAACAGATGAAACGCTTGTGAGTCATCCTGGCCCTTGAATTCTTAATGGAGCAAGAAACACTGACCATGTTAAACTGTTTTCAAAGCGTGTGTGTGCATATATTTGAGTGCATTTATGTTTGTCTGCGATTTTTCATCCAAATGTTGTAATGATTTATTTTGTCTGAAACTCCACAGAGTTAACCCACTTGTGTTCCAAACTATAGTCTGGAAAACCATCTCCGAGGTGCAACATGGAGCGTTCCGGAAAAGCTGAAGTGATAAAACGCAAAAAAGCCCATTACCTGAACTGACCTAACGTACACGAGAGTCCAACCGAAGTAGGACACAGGAATGACTGCCAGCCATTTGCAGAAATGCTGTAACTGAGGTCTGAGGTCCAATGCACTATTAAGACTGGAGGAGCACCATATGCTATGTCGTGCGTCACTGTTGGCTAGCATGTCACATTTATAATGCAAACACTTCCTTGGGCACACATGCAAAATGTATGGTGATAGGAACACCAAACAAAGACTATAAGACACATTGTTTTGTTGAGCCACTGTTAAGGTCTCTGAAGGGCAAGCAGCTTTAATTGTAGAACAGTTACATAATAATTGGACCTTCTTGGGTGTCTGACCTTTACGTAAGAGCTTGATTAGCGCTGGTTCATATAGCTACGATATATCAGGTTAAGACATGGAGATCCAGCATTGGTTAGCATTGTGACAAGAAGCTTCTACCCTCTAATCTGCTGTTCTGATAGGGTCTTTCCATGTGGCTTCCTCTCAGACTCCAGTGACATGCATATTAGACTATCTGATGTCTCTAAACTGGCTGCAAATGTGTGAATGTGTGAGTGAATGGTTGCCTGCCTCTTTAGGCTCTTGAAGGAGTAGCGGCCTGTTGAGTATGCGTCCTGTTTCCCGGGGGGATAGGGAGCTATAAAACAGCCAAGGAAAGCAAGAATTATTGGACTGTGTTGCCTCTGTAGCAGCCAGAGCTGTACCCAAAAATACACACACCTGGCATACTGTCAATACGAACATGTTTTATTTAAAAAATGGCACTGTGAAAGCTTGCGATGAGTAACAGTTCCACTACATACTGACAAGAACAAATGCTAATGCAGAAGTTAGCTTCTGCATCTACTGCACCTGGCCAATAAGTGAGGAAGTCTATAAGAAAATGACTTCGCTACAACCCCTTCAACTCACTCATGGCCTTGACAAACAATGTACTGATGAGTTTACGGTCCTAATCATTAGTTTCAGGCCTTATCTAATACAATATAATAAAGCGAGGTGTGTTTTAGTGATTGAAAACTAGCTACAACAAGCATTGTCCACAGGCATAGAGATTGGACAACCTTAGTTTTCTGATGTGTATTCTTTGACCAGTTGGTTATTGGAAGTTGCTGGCTGGTGAATGGTGAAACTGGTCACAAGGAGACCTCCTTGTGATCACTTTGGTCAATTGCTGCAGTCGCTTATGTTTTACATGGAGGATGCTGACTGCAAACACTCGCAAATTACTCGCCAAGTATTACTGAAACGTGTAACATGAACTGGAAACAGAATATGTTCACAAAGTAAAAATGACACCTTTTAAATCTGAATCATCTGTATTTGGACAGGTGTGTGCACACAAACAGGAATCAGGAATGTTTGTGTTCATTTTGCTCTTCTGAAAACTAAAAAACATTTCTTTTTTATGTGTGCTGAGTTGCTGTGCTAAGGCACAGAACATACTTGAAAGGTCTCTGTTTCCAGTTTGTCTCACTTTTTCCCACACAAACTTATTGGTCTCTCAGACTTTAGCAATTTATTTTATACAACTGACAGAAGCCTCAACCAACCGCTCACCAACCACAGAATACAACATTTTTCTCCAGTGACCAGTGGTTGCCAGATGGTTGCCGACTGGTCTCTATGTGTCACTGGTAAATCCAGCCCTTGCTCATTGCTTCTGTTGAACGTCAACACCTAGGTTTTGATGTTCAAGAGGCTCAGCTTCACAAACAAATTGGTTATTTTACGGTGGCCACGTCTTTTTGTTTCATACAGTCTATGACGTGTACACAGACAAGAAGCTTAAGTTCAGTTTTTTGAGATGGAAGATTTGATTTTTGTGGTCCTTGTAAATATGGAGTGCAGATCCAAAGCTATGCAACTCACCACTTATGTTATTTGTCAGACATTATTATGTTTATTCACAAGCACTTTAAGTACACCCACGTCCATATAAAGGAACATGAGCAAACCTCCCCTGAACAGTATCCATATAGTTCATGTAAAGCATAAGGGCTGACTTGTTATGTGCTGGGTAAAACCTGAGCCAGATGGGTGCGGTGTTTCCATAATACTGCCGCATTTTCAATGAGACTCAAGGCGACTGCGTAGCAGGGCCACCCATGCTGTGCCGTGCTGAGGCTTGTACAGAACAGTAAACATGGCAGGGGCCTTTTGGACCGGCTTCTCAAGCCCCTGGCCAAGTTGTCTGTAGTGGATGCCAACCAGAACTGACTGAAAAAAGAGGCAGAGCTGTTCTATAAGTTAGCGCTGCCAGTGTATGTCAAGAGTTTCCCCAAGGGGATGAAATATTCACAGCGCTGCCAGTGGAGATGAAAGTAACTGCAGACACGTCATTAATTTGTCATGTTGTCCAGAGGAAGCCTTCCTTTTATTCTAAATCATGGGTTTGCCTTAAGAGATCCTTAAATGAGTTTGTGATGGATTTTCCCAATAAAGAAAATTACTAAGGGCAGTGCAGCTCCAACTCTCTCATGAATAATAATGATGATGAAATACACTGGTGATTCTCAGTTCATACAGAGCTAAATGAATCATAAGTCTGACTCTAAAACTCTTTTAGCTCAACTCAAACAGACCTCAGAGGAAACTTTCCACATCAGCATGAAAGAAACATATGCAAGTGTAGTCAGAGTATGAATGTACCTGGAGCAATTTTGTACATTAACTATGAAGACCTCTCAGTAATTAAGATTAGATCCAGGGCTCCCATTGGACATCTTTCCGTTTTGTCACTGCCACCCAGTCAGCGTGGGAAACCATACAAGCTCCAAACTCGTGTAATTTCCTGCCTTTTGTAAACACTCCTTGGGGAGCTAGATATTATGCTGCATAGTCATAAATATATTGGTCACTGCTCTGGCCAGAACATTTGTGTAACACATGATAATGGTGCTCCGTTAAAGAAAAGAAAAACACTGAAATCACAATCTTTTCCCATATCCCATTCATTCTTACAAGTGTGTGAATGTTCAATTTAGGTTTGCACCAGTTAGTTCCTCAGGTCCAAATGTAAAATTGTGATGAGGAAAAAGCTGATACCCAGAAGGGAAATTCAAACAGAGAGCTAAATAGTAAATAGATCAAATAGATAGAATAAGACACCAAAGTAATAGATTTCAGGTATTAAGTGAATACTTCCTTGTTCTGCTAAAGCCAAAAAAAAGTTGGAATCCACCGCATGATGAAAAGAATTGCAACTGTATGCAATGAATTTGCGGTCCTCTTGAATTGAAACTTGCTTCAAAGACAAGGACCAGTTCTGCAACCACTTGCAGACAGTTGCTGTATTCTAAGGGAGTTTGGTGCTTCAATATGCAATAAAATGGCAATAAAGTGAACTCAGTCTGTGATTAATCAGTCGGTTGCTATCTGCATGCACAGAAATTCATATTTGCTACTTACATTAGACTCCAGACATAAACTCATGAATTTAAAACAGAAATTCCTTCACAAGTGGTGACATAGTTGCCGTCTATGCTGTCATAGTTGCAGCTATTCATGCAAAATGACACAGGTGCTCGGCAGCCTTGCTTTATATAGTTATGTAACCATAATATAACCAGCTGGGAACCACTCGCAAAAAGACATGTTGCAGACAAGTTGTGTTCATCATTGCAGACTGACTCAGATTGATTGGGTCATGTTGGGAGTCTGTCTTCATTTATGAATTGGATGGTGATTAGTTGCAAACCTTCACCAATCTGTCTAAGCGGGACTACAGACAGTCCAAGTCTGAAAGTATCCTTTGTGACTACCTTGTGATTGAAAGTGTGACCAGTTGGTCAACACATTCACTTGCAAACAACGGGCAACCTCTGTGTCATTTTTGTATTATATTTACATTTACAGTTTGGTTAAATATCTGATTTAACCACATATACGACAGTCAGGTATTTAACACGATAAAGGTTATCTTGTGTTTCTGTTTCGATATTATGTTGCAGTTGCAATGTTACATTTCAACCATAGTGTAACTGTATTTATTTACTTAAAAAACATGTTTCTAAATACTTTGCACCTTCCAATTAACAACTGGTCAAATAGCGCCCCCTTACGGTGCTGTGTAAGTGCGTATCACTAACTCAGTGGGAGAGAGAAGAGAGGACAGGCCAGCTGTCCTAAACAGTAAAATATTCAACTCTTAACAGGAAGAAAGAAGAGCTAGCATTGTTTAATAAACTAACAAGCGCGTGTTTTCAGATAGTGAAATTAATTAAGAATTAAAACAGACGTCGTATAACGGGAAGTTAAACAAATGAAGGTAAGTTTAGCACCGTTAAGCTTTTCTTCGATGGCTTAGAAAGCTAATTGTTTTGGTGCTAACAGCTGCACATTTATCGCCACAGAAACTCCAGTGGAAATGTCTGGGTATGGATAATAAACATTCAGCTCACGGGGGAAAGGAAGACAGCCTGCAAACAGAGTGAGTCCCATACAGCTTGTTTGTCGGGTTTGTTTTTCTGGCCTTGCTTCGTTAGATTGGTATTATGCATATGAACGCGTTCTGAATGAGGAGTGCTTTTGTCTGAAGTGTGAGCTTGTTGTAAAGCCGTGTGCCTACACAGAAGCACCCCGGAGAGAGCTCTTTAAGAGCTGGTGCCGTTTTCCCATCTTGTAAAGGTCACCTGTTGGATAGAACACGTGTCAGAGGTTATCTGCCATATTTGCTCACAGCTGATGTTTACTGCATATGTGAAACGTGGCTGTGTAGAAAAATCATCACCTGATTTTGTTATATGTGGATGGAGAGAGAGAGAGAGATTCTGTAGCAGACTATATCTATTTCCGCAGATTAGGCTGGCACAGAAAAAGTTGTCCATAATCCCACAGTGATCATGCAGAGTGATTCATAGAGTAAGTTAATAATAGCCACTATTTTTACTCATGAATTGCAATCTTTATGGCGACATGGTTATTCATTAAATGGAGAAACATTGTGCATTTCTTAGATGAAACTCTCTCTTTTCACCTTAGATTTTCTTGAACTTCTGATACAAGTTAAACAAAAACCAAACAGCTGGAGTGCGGTGTGGGACACAGGGTCCTCTGGTGGGGCATTAGGCTCGAAACATTGGGTGTTTTTGACCATAAAGCCTTCAACTGGAGGGCAACTGGAGCTGCATGCTCCCTGCTGCAAACTTATTGGCGGGTCGGGTGATGAATCCTCTGAGATCTACTGACTAATCTGATAAGTATGTCCACTTGCAACCAGCCAAGATTAGATCCTAACATCTTAAAACCATAAGCGAAAGAAAATGGTCCAGCGTAGTCGGTTCACTGTGGTCAAACTGAAAAGTGCATTCCACAAACTCAATAAGCGCTGCTCTGTGACAGCCCGTGGTGACTTGGTTTCTTGATTAACTGCGTTCTGGAAAGATGTCATGTTGGTCTTAAAGCAGCTTTTGCGCAATACTTGCATGTCACAAAGCCACAACAGCTGCCTACAACTTAATATTGCTTTTGACGCTGTTCTTTTCCTGCCCGTTTTAATTATAAATCCAAGTGATGCATAAAAATCCAGTCCAGAAGCCAAAGCTGAATTTTCATTATTGACTGAATTTTTTTTTGGGGGGGGGTTTCACAGCCATCAGTTTCTCTTCACAACTCATTTCCTTACCATAGCTTTTTTGTGGTCTGATTTACTTGACAGAAACTCTCGAGTGAAATTACAATGCGAGCATGATTTATTCATAGAGATTAAGTTAGATGAGGTTCCCAGAATTGAGACATTTTAATACAGAGGTATTTGCTTGAAAGTCACAAAGGCTACAGTAGAACTTTTGTTCACAGTGTGTTGTTCAGTTGATGTGGAGTATTTCAGATGGCTTTGCCCACCGGAAGTTTAGATGGAATAAAAACAAAACAAATCCCTCCAGTGAATTCTGAGTCTACCGTATTTTGAAAATCCCACAAAGGATGCACACAGGAGATATCTTGGTCAGATGCAGCTAACTTCAGATCTCTGAGCACCCTACCTGTAATGCTGAGCTCAGCATCACTTAATTTAGCGTCTTTTAGTCACTACCTTTATCTCTTTTGATTAAAATGGTCACAACTGTGCATATAAATATTAGGGCTGCCACGATTAGTCGACTAGTCACGATTACGTCGACTATCAAAATCGTCGATGACTAATTTAATAGTTGACGCGTCGTTTGAAGCTTTGTAAGATCCCAAAAGACGCAGGAATAAGTAGTAGGATTTAAGAGTGTAATAACGGACTGAAACAGAAGATGGCAGCACTGCATGCACAAGGATGCCAGCTGCCGTTAAACTCCGAAGAAGAAGCAGTGTCCGGTATCATAGCTGTATCCAAATTCAGGAACCGCATCCTCCTGTGCCCGCATTTGTAGGCCGATTATGTTACAACCAGACGACGAAGACTGTCCAAATTCGAAGATCCCGACAAATGCGCGTTTCATTTCCCCAGATTTGAAGGATGGGTCGGGTGTATACTTCGTGGCCCAACCTATCCCAGAATTCATAGCGCGGCCCTACAATGGCGGCAGCTGGTTAGTTTTAATATTACTCTTTTTATTCTTTCTGGGTCACAAAATAAACGTTTAACATATTTTCAGGCGAGAATGTAGCTGTGTAAACCTCAAATATCTGCTCAGTTTATCAAAACATCACATATTTTCAAAAGTGCTCCGACGTTTTCCGAGACGTCTGTTACCCACCAGCTCGATAGCTAGCCGGGGTTCAAGGCTCACTAGAGCCGTGAGAACACCGGACTCCCGGCAAATCGTTTTCAAACCCACCGCCGTCTTTCGCTACTCAGGTTAAACATGATATATAAGTCACTTAGATAACTTAAAAATGTTATTGTTTGGCTTTTTTCAGTATTTTATTTGTTCCTGAGTAAATCGGTTTGGCTGAGATTAAAATTATAGTTTCTACACAGCTGAATAAACGTCAAGCAGACAACTGATTATCAGAAGTGTGAGATGCTCGAGAACATACTCCAGTGTCCTGTTATATTTTAGATAGCAAGGAGCAGACGGCTGAGTTTATTAAACTTCACCTAAACAATCTCCAGATTTCATTAAAATTTAATAAAATATCATATTATCTTTATTTTTAGTTAGCACATACCTTAAACACTTAAAGCTGTAAGCTAATGATAGTTATATAAGAGCAGATGCTGCTGGTGCATCTGCTCTTATCCAATGGATGCATGATCTGATTAGTCGACTAATCGCAAAAATAATTGGTGACTAGTCGACTATCAAAATAATCATTTGTGGCAGCCCTTATAAACATACAGCTTGTGTCTAAGTGAGTCTGCTTGGTCACCTGACGGATAAACGCCTTCTGAAATTCTTTCTAGAGATAGTCGAAAGTTTGGTCATATGAATGCCTTTCTGCCTTTAGATCAGGAAACTTAAATTTGACAAAGAAAAGAAGCTGTTTGTTACACGAGCTGGTCGAGAGGAATGCTCCGGTGAAACGCTGTTGGCCTGCGAGTCTACATTGTTGCATTTCCTTTTTATTTGTGACCTTTCTAAAACGATTGCTCACAGATCCGACAGTCCAAGACTGTTCAAAGACCCCCTCTCAGTATTAGACATGATTTAGGGTCAAAATTTATGGTTTGTATTTAAAAATGTTAAAGTTTTGTAAGTTTTAGAGTCCTTCTTGTCAAATAACTTTCCAATTTTCTGATCTTGGAGGGTTTTTAATATCTGGCATCAGCTGAACTAGGAATTTAGCTTATTTTATTTTGCAGGGACTATTAGAGTGAATGCTTTTTATTGTGCGTTTACTGTAAATTACAGCAGCACATCATCTCACCCTCTGCTCCTGCTTCCTTGGAAGTTAGCATTTAAAAATGATTACCGATTTCTTGCAGAACTGGTGCAGTTCTCTAAAGAGCTGTTGTCTGTCATGGTCTTTATATCCAAGCTTTACCAACATGTTGCTTCAAATGTTTTCTCAGAGTGCTTATTTAATAAGTTAAGTTTACAGAACTGCCAAGACTTTACCTAATGTGAACAGGGTTTTTTGTCAGATTATATTTTTAACCAGGCATGAAGAGATTAGAGGTTTGTTCTGAAGTCTAATTTACATTAGTTTTGTGCATTAAAACGCAGAGAGTTGTGGGCTGTGAGTCATGTGTTGCTCTGGGGACATTGCTATTAGTCCACTGTGCACTCACTCACTCCCTTTTGGTGATGGCAAAAATGGCTCTGGGTAGGTACCAATAATCTAACCAGTATAGGGAAGAAACTGAATGCAACACCTTCATAGCTAAAGCAGATTCCTTGAGTCTTTCATTTGGATTTTTCCACGGGATAACACCACCATATGATGAATCTCTGTTACTCTTGTCAGCTGTATACATAGCCAGTCTTGGAAATTTGTGTGTTGCACCTGTAATAGCAGCAGCATGGTTGACTTCTCTTGTGAGAAGAGGTGCACATCACTCAGATGTGCCTTCCCATGGAAGCTTCACTACTGTTGTGTGGTTGTTGTTTTTTAAGCTAAGTGCATATGTACTAGTTTTTTTCTTTTTTTTTTTTTTTTTCTTTTTTTTTACGTTTCGAGTTGTTTAAACTTGAATGCAAAGGCCATACTGCGAATGTGTTAGATGTTTTAAATGTTTGAAGTACCAGACATCTAAGTATAAACATCAGCCTCAGTCTCAGGCATCAGGGTGGAGCAGATCGTCTGGGCTTAAATCATGCGAGTATAGTGCTGTCAGAAGGGTACAGACAGCATTCATCACATTCCTCTACAGATGCCACAGACGTAAGACCAGCACGCCTTAAATGCATTGGACCTGAACCTGGGGCAGGCAAAACCGAGGAAATCAGAGCTGACTGGGGCACTGACGGAGAATGCTTTGAGGTAAAAAAAAGAAAATTACTGTTAAGCAGACTTCTTACCATTTCCTCGTCTGCTGAGCTGCACCACCCAAAATGTATAAACAGACCTGATGAATATGTGTGTTGATGGATGCAATAGCACGCATTTCAACAGCAAATTAAACTGCACATGGCAGTATGGAATGTACTAGCATTAAAGTTTCCTATTATGTCTGTTTCCAGGTTTCCCTTACAGTGTTAGATACACTGCATGAAAGGGAGATGGACCTCACAACATCTTTGTTTATCTCAATGCATCAAATTAAAGTAACAAAAAAAAAAAAGATTTCCCACCTGGCCTGAAAAAAAAATTCCAAGGTTTAGATGCACTTTTTAATAGGAATGATGTAAAATGTAAAGTATTTAATTTTTTTGTGTGTGTAATTGATGAAAGCAGGGTTATTGCTAGTTGTCTTCCTTGACCAGTTTTTATAGGGTCCATTTTAATATCCCATTGTGGAGAAGTGGTTGTGCTAGACCTTTGAAATGTTTTAGGGTAAATGTATGGACTCTCAGGGGTGTAGCTCAAGTTAACACAGAATGATGGATTGAAAGATGTAGAGTCTCTGGCAGCAGATTTGGAGGCCTGTAAAAACCACAGCTTTGTAGGTATGGGACTGATTTTTTTTTTTTTTTAGCATATTCTCATATACATAGCACATTATTTATAACAGTCCAAATCAGGTGACTGGTTTGACAGATATTACAGTTTGAATGTGGTAGGAAAAACACACATTTTCATCTAACTTTAGAATAATATTCCCAAATTACAAAGCCAAGTTCCAAATCAGAATTTCTTTTTATTTGTAGAAAGGGTGAAGTTAATACTACGGCCAATATGCTGCTGCTGCTGATGATGGTGATGAACTCTCTCCAAGACGGAACATTTCCATGTAACACTTTTTAAAGCAACTTATAAGATATTTCCGGAAACACGTTTGAGATGGTGAGAGTTAGAGCAGTTGAGTTCCACATGCAATCAGAAAAGTAAAGATTCTTGGAATTCAAAAAAACCCCCAAACACCCCAAACAAAACACGCCAGTGGCGCAATTGCTGGACAACACACTCATAACTGGCTCTGTTTTAGTTTTTCGCTAACTGCTTTAACACAGCCAAGGTCTTTGGACTGCTGAGCACAACATACCAGCACTATTACTTTTTCCTGACTCAGAACATGTAGTGAGCTTTAGCTTGTGGCAAAGATAATCAGCATACATTGTTTGTGCATTGTTCTGCTTTTGAAATGGTTCTAATTTCTTTTAGCTTTTAAGAATTGTTTCAAAGGTTGCCTGTGATGAACAGCCAGGCAGTTGAGATTCTTTCGGGACAGTCATCATATTTGTGTGAGCAGAATGGGTTTGAAGCTCTCCACATTTCTGCTATTCTTAATTGACCGGATCTAATGACATTATTTATGTTTTTTTTATGTGAATAAGGACTATTTTCTTGTAATTGGATCACATTTGAATTATGTAATTGGTTGATGTCAGTGCTAGGCATTCATTCTTTGCATAGTTCACAACTGCTATTTGTGGTATTTTAAGCTTTAAAGAGCTCGTTGACATTTTGAACGATTGAGATGTACTGCCAAAAAAATAAAATAAATAAAAAATCCCAAATTCCACAGCTTTCCCAACCTCAGTCCTTCATGTTAAGATTTGTCACATTTGTCAGTTTGGGATTTTCCCAGGAATTTTCAAGAGATGTCTAAACTTCAGAGGAAAAACAAAAAAATGTAAGAACAGCACTGTGAAAACACAACGTGGATTATCTGCCATCGTGAGCAGGGATAAGGCGCACGGTTCTTAAAAGAAAACAATCCAAAGAATTTGCATGTGCAGAAACTTCCAGCTCCAAGATGTGTTCCTGAGCGACTGAACAGGAAATCTTGACTTGGAGCGAACATAAGCATCTTTTTTCACATTTCATTTTTAACATTTTGTCTCCTTTTTCCTGTTCCTGTCTGCCACTGGGGCAAAACACCAGCAGGAGAGGGATTGTGTTTGATTGTGGTGGACCAAAACCCAGACTACTGACCAATACGCACTTTGAATCGGGCTTCGAAGGATCAGATTCAAAGTGATGGAGTGGAGAATGGAAGCAGGCAGATCTCTGTGGGTTGGAAGACTTTGTGAGTTGGGAAAGATTTTTGCCAGAGGACAGCCAAGTGGATGGCATCTGTGGTCAGCAAGGCATTGCCTTTATTTCCTTGGATCAAAGTTAGCCAGGACTCGGTCTGTTTAAAGTAGGCTTTCTAAAACTCTAACTTGGCAGCTTTTAACTTGGAATAATAAAAATACATCTGATTTGTAATGCACCTTTCATACAAAAATGCAGCTTTGTTGCCATGTTCCCAGTGAGCAGCCATTTCTTAACCACAGTTTTTGTTATGTGTACCCTTGTGGGTCACATGCAATTTTGAATAGCTAAAGACAAGATGGAACTTAAAAATATACAAACGGCTTCCTGCCGACTAAAGAATTCAGGTCAGCTGTTTACATGGGATGTGATTTTATTCTAGTCTTGTGTTTAAATGTCACAACACATTCAATCAGAACAGTGTTAAATGCTTTGCATGACTCATGGTTCAAAATAATCCTTGTTTTTCAGTCCTTCAGTTCATTCTGTCTGAACAAAGCTGTTTTAGCTCCTATCCTTTATGGCCCCTCTCCCTTTAAACCACCTTTGTGCTGATTAATTGCAAGAGGCAACCAAGGTGGGGAGTCGGGGGCAATTTAGACTCTCTAATTAACCTAACAAGCAAAGAGAAGAAGCCAAAGTGCCTGAAAAGAGCCCCCCCATGCATTGGGAGAACATTGAAACTCCATAAAGAAGGCATCCTCAACTAAAAAACGTCTTGCTATGAGGGAACAGCACCAACTACCACATTATAACACATTATTAAAACTTTGCCCAGGGTTCATGTTAGCACCCTCAAAAGGAAAAGCACAACATATAAGATTTTACGTTGAAAACAAACTCTTCACAGAGTAGTTGAGCTTGGAAGCCAGCAGTCTTGGAAAGCAAAGAAGCATACGTCCCCACGCATTTTAGGCCAAGATGGGATGCATGAATGCAGAGCAAGGGGCAATGCAGCCAGCAGTGAATCACATTAAAGCTCTTGTGTGGTAGAATTCTTCTTTTAATCTGTTTTTGAAAACATTTACTCCGTTGCATTGAAATTCCAGCTGTTTATTCAGATTTAGGTGTTTATATGGAGCATTTTTTTAATCTTGTGTTTGGTTTTTAATGCGATTAGAATCATTATACCACGCGCCATGTAAATGTAGCTATTCTTCTACCAGCCGCAGGCCTTTTATTTACCCTGTAGTCAAATATTTTCATTCTAATTTTCATGAGTTGATTTGTAGCTTAGATAGCCTGACTACACTAGACCGCATACATGTTCTTCCCAGCTGCCTTTGCTAACCACGTCTCAGTTGTGTATTCTATTTATGCCACTCATGACACCAGAGAACCAACCAGCTTTGCCCGGGCTTTATGACAACACCTGGCTTGTATTTAACAGGCCTATAAATAGACTTTCCTCCAAATACAAACCACCTGGATGGGGTCAAACCACTGTCACACGCATCCATTTCAGTTTTGCCAGAAAGAGTTATCTGAGATGTAACGATGGTGGTGAACAGTGATTTACATAGATGATATCCATCAGAGCCTGTGGTCAGCCCTGTGGTCTGTGAAGACTAAGCACACACATGGAGGCTTTTTGGTGTCTACTCCATCATTGCTAACCAATGTAAGTTAAAGGGAAAAAATGTGATTTACTCTGAGTGAATTTTAATCGTCTTGTAATGGTTTTACTGCTTAGTCCCGCATAACTGATGGGTTTGGGATGGGCCTTACACATGAAATGTCTGTGTTTGGTTTTCAGTAATTGCTTTTGCATGACTTGGTCACAGGTGTCAGGCAGAGACTTTTGGTAAATGTTTGGCATGGTAGAGTAAGAAAAGTTTCAGGGCCTACCTGGAATAGTCCGGGCTTTAAATAGCGACAAGGCGTTACCCGTTTCCTCTGCCGGTTCACTCACAAACACACATGAACTGATGAAAGTTGACTGGAAATTATGAAGACTTGGAGAAAATAAGAGCAATTTTGCAGTAATTGCCATCAAGCTGTTAGGTCTTCCAGTGCAAAGGCTGCATTGCGTGTTGGGAGTGTGAGTGTGGTGGGAGGTAGATATTTTTAGAATCAAACTCCTCTGTTCCAATGGCATGGCACTCAAGCACAACATACCTTCTGTGCTGTGCTTTCCTCCTTAAGACGAGCACTTTCCCTTCTATGTTTTGTGTGCTGGGCTGGCGGCCAAGACGGTGGCTTCACAAAGGGTCACAGAGCAGGGGCTTTTAATATGACCGGCTTTTGCTGACTCAAAAAAAGCAGTCCGTGGAAGGATTTATGTAACTACATAACAGCAACAGACTGAACTTAGATGTTCCCTTTAAGGAAGGCTTATCTAAAAAGAAAAGATTGCGAGGTTTGGAAAAATGTGATTGTGTAGTAAGACAGTTGTCTATCTTCATACGAAAGCATCCTGTGGCTCATTCGCTGCTCATTTTGTTTTTTGTTTTTTAAATAAATGCCAGTAGATAAGAGTTTTACCAGCCAGGGAGGAAATTATTGTAATTACTTTATATACTACAGGATATTGCATAATTTAGTAGTAGCTTTCCAAATAAAATACATGTAGTCACGTACACCCTGAATAGAACAAGCAGTGGTGACTGCTGTCACCCGGCCACTCAGTTGACAACAGTCTAAGAAATATGGAGATCTGATCCAGTGATTTCAAGCCCTTGATTCAAAGACTAGGATTAGAGACATTTGCACACCAGCTAAATTTAACTATTGCATAGAGCTGGGCGATATAAGATTTTTTCATATCACGATATGTTTTTTTTTTTTCATTTCAGGCGATAACGATATCTATCACGATATAAGCCAAATAACTATATTTGTAAGATTTTAAATGTGCCGTTGCTCACAAGTAAAATGTGAAATAATCAGCAGCTTGTTTTTATTTAAATATTTATTTCCCATAATAAGTTCAACAGGGTAGATGTACTTAAGGAACATGAGACTTTTTCAGCTAAATAAAGGCAAATATGGCAAACTACATAAAAGGCAGCCGCTGAAGCGTTTAAGTTTCAAAATAGAACAAACAAAACAGGCTACTAAATTGTCAGTTCCACTTAGAAACAAAATATTAATTCTAAAAATAAATCTGTTTGTTTTGTAACTTGTCATCAGACAAAATTGACTAACTTTTGTCAATATCAAATAAAGTGAGAACTAAAAGGAAATTCTCAATGTCTCCTTGTTGTATAGCTGAGCTTTTCAAACAGTTACTTTAGTCTGACAAAAGCCGAATGACGAATTAGCGCTTCCAGTCAGAGATTGAGCATGCACCGCTTTATTGTATTTCCAGACTTGCTTTCGGCACATTTACAGTACGCGCTACTCTGTTTTTGTCAGACTTGAAATAGCCGAAATACCTTCACACTACGGAACTTCTATGGCTCTTCCGTTCGACAATCTCTCCGACGTTGGAACCATCATCTGTTTTCTCTTTGGTAACCTTCGGTCACGCTCGGTTGATCTTTCTCTAGTCGGCGCACTTATTTCCTCCATTACCGGGCGGCACAGCGGCTGGCTGCTTCCCAAACAAATACACATGTGCGGCACGTAACAAGTCACGTCACGTGACGCTGCGGCTGTGATTGGTTCGGCTCTGCGCTACTTAATTTGGGTTGGCTGTTGTTCTTTTTTTTTTTTTTTTTTTTTTTTAAGAGGACAAGAGAGACGAGGCCTATCGCGATAGTTTAACTTTTCTATCAAGGAAAAGTTATTTCGCAATACATATCGTTATCGTTCTATCGCCCAGCTCTACTATTACAGTAGCAGAAATATAGAGTATTGATAAACAGGTTCTTTTTCTAACTTCGCTCGGTGTTTCACTATGGGAATCCCCTCGGCGCAGGTTCAAAGGACATCATAGCATTTTGATCTTGATTTTATTAATAGAATTTTTATATATACATATACACGCCCGATTGCCACTGTAGCTTCTTTTCAGGCCCACAGTTTGTGAAACTGCCTTGCAGTTTCTCAGGTCATTGCACAGTCTGACCTCAGGTGAAATTACTGGGCCATCAGCTCCTGGGAAAAATGTTACATTATGTTAACACATGCCTGAATGCACTAGATCAGCAACTTAAAGTTCTGCTTTTATAGAGATGTGCATGCTTGCTGATGATGAATTAACCACATGCATTTTATTAGCAGCACTTGGCTGCGACTTACTCTCTTAATTACTATGGAAACAGTAACTGTACTTAATTTTTCACAGGCCATCAGTCCTATTTTTTTCCTAAATTCTTTTATAGGGAAAAGATCTAAA